AAGCCGCCTACCTCTCCAAGTCCCTGTCCCGCCTCTTCGACCCCATCAACCTGGTGTTCCCCATGGGGGGGCGCAACCCGCCCTCCGCCGACGAGCTGGACAGCATCATCAGAACCATCAGCAGGTGGGAGGAGCAGCAGGGCATTATGGGATGGAGGAGGAGCGTCTCTGATCATTGGCTGTGTTTGTTGGCAGCGAGCTGAACGTGGCGTCGGTGGATCAGAACCTCTCTCTGGCCGTGGCCCGGAACGCCGCCAAGACCGTGCAGCTCTTCTGCGTCAAGTCAGAGCAGCTGGTAGGTACCGAACCCCCCTGGACCAAGCAGGTCAGAACCCGCAGGTCTGGTTCCTCTGAGCGGGACGCATGTCGGACCAGAACCTTCAGCTCTTTCCTTCCCTTCCTCAGCTCTGCACCCAGGGAGACGCCAGTCAGGTGATCGGACCGCTGACGGACGGCCAGAGGAGGAACATCGCCGTGGTCAACTCGCTGTACCGCCTGCAGCAGGCCGTTACCAAGGTAACAGCTGTGGCAGGGACGTGTTGTTGCATCAGACCGGTCTGAGCTCAGGGGTCTAACTGCTCTGTCTGGTTCGCAGATGTGCTCTGGTTCTGGTTCTGGTTCTGGTTCTGGTTCTGGTTCTGGTCTGGGAGGAGGAGCTCCACCAGCTGCCGTTGAAGCGCTCACTTCTTCTCTGGAGGTCTGAAGTTCTGCCTGCTGCTGGAGGTTCTACTGGTTTTCTTCCAGAACCGTTCCCATGGTAACAGCTGTGTGTTCTGACCCAGGCGGTCCAGGCCCTGATGAACGGCGCCGTCCAGCCGCTGCTGCAGTCCGTCAGCGACTCCATCGAGGCCATCATCATCACGCTGCACCAGGAGGACTTCTCAGGGTGAGCGACCCAGTCCGGTCCGGTTCTAGTTCCCTCCTCGCTAAAACTAAGCAGAACCATCAGGTGACCTGATGGTCGCTCTGTGGGATCGGGTCAGAACCAGGTGTGTGTGTTCCAGGCCCGTGTCCGGGTCGGAGCGGCCCGCCGTGCCGTGCTCGCTCTACATGAAGGAGCTGCAGGGCTTCATCTCCAGGATCATGGCCGACTACTTCTCCCACTTCCAGTGTTCGGACTTCGTCTACGACAGAACCGAGCCCGTGGCCCAGAGGGCCGTGCTGCTCTTCCTACGCCACGCCAGCCTGCTGCGGCCGCTGGGGGAGGGGGGCAAGATGAGGCTGGCCGCAGACTTCGCCCAGGTAAGGAGTGGGGGGCCGGGTTCTGGAGGGCCGGGTTCTGGAGGTCCGGTTCCCCATTAACCCGTGTGTGTGTCAGATGGAGATGGCGGTGGCGCCGCTGTGCAGGAGGGTGTCGGACCTGGGGAAGCCGTACCGGATGCTGCGCTCCTTCAGGTTGGTGCGCTGATCTCCTCAGGACCTCTGGAGGTCCATAAGGTTCTGGGATGGGTCGGGTCCAGGTGGTTCTGGACGGTTCCTGGTCTCAGGTCTGGTTCCTGTCTTCTTCAGGCCTCTGCTGTTCCAGACCAGTGAGCTGATCGCCAGCAGTCCAGCTGTGGGAGACCTGATCCCCTACAGCACCGTGCTGCACTTCCTGTTCTCCAGAGCCCCCCCAGAGCTGCGCTCCCCCCACCAGGTCTGAACACCTCCCCCCACCCTGAGTCAGCAGACGGCCTCCTCACCTGTCCTCACCTGTCCTCCTCACCTGTCCTCACCTGTCCTCTCCTTCTGCCTCCAGAGAGCAGAGTGGTCCATCGCACGGTACTCCCAGTGGCTGGATGATCACCCCTCAGAGAAGGACAGGCTGGCTCTCATCAGGTGGGCAGTCCTCTCTCCTCTGTCCTCTCTCCTCTCCTCTGTCCTCTCCTCTCTCCTCTCTCCTCTCCTCTGTCCTCTCCTCTGTCCTCTCTGTGACCAGAGGGCGCCCTTTAGTGGTGAATGGTGGTGGTGTTCCTCCAGAGGACGTGGATCATCTCTAAAACTGTCTGTTCATCCAAACCAGGAACAATAAAGAGTTTTCAGATAGATTGTTCCTGATGGATCTCAGCTGAGCATCCTGAAGGTGTTTAAAGAGTCTGAGGCAGAGGAAGAAGGAGGAGCAGTCATGGCAGCTAGATCCCCACTTTAACAGCTGGAGTTAAAATCTACTCATCTGGATCTGATCTATCAGATGACTGAAAGGAACAGAGGATGTTTCCTAATCCTCCATCCAGCAGTGAATTATTGTGGAACCAGTAGAGGGTGGGTCTACTGTCAGTCTCTGAACCAGAGCTGTGCTCTACAATGAACCAGCCACGGAAGCAAACGTAGAAAAGGGAAATAGATGCACTGATCTATATTTGCACTCTGTTTGAAAAGCTAACGGTAACCTAGCTTCAAAAGAGCTCTGTCTGGGAAGGAGACAGTTAATCAGACGAGCTCAGAGCCAGCTCCCATGTCAGAGGATGAAGAGAGCACATCCAGTTAGTCACAGTCAGAGAAACAGGACTAAACTGGAAAACAGGCTGATCTCCAACATCTATAAACAAGGCTGTTGATGGCAGCAGCACAGCTGATATTTCTCTCCAGGATGGAGTCACAGCCAAACAGGAACAGACCAGATGAAGCTACTATGAGAAAAAGCAGAGAGAGCAGAACGTTAGAGATTGAACTAACAGATTCTGCAGAGTGGAAGAATAGAGATAGAATGAAGCAGAATGATGAAAAAGGGGTCCCTATGTCCTCCAGCAGTCTAAGCCTATAGCAGCAGAACTATAGAGATAGCTCAGGATAACTGAGCCACTCTAACTAGAAGCTTTATCAAAAAGGAACGTTTTAAGCCTAGCCTTAAAAGTAGACAGGGTGTCTGCCTCACGGACTAAAACTGGTAGTTGGTTCCACAGGAGAGGAGCCTGATAACTAAAAGATCTGCCTCCCATTCTACTTTTAGAAATTCTAGGAACCACTAGTTAACCTGCAGATTGAGAGCGAAGTGCTCTGTTAGGAACATAAGGAACAATCAGATCTCTGATATCAGATGGAGCTTGGCCATTTAAGGCTTTATATGTGAGAAGGAGGATTTTAAATTCTATTCTTTGTCTTTTTTACTTTATTATCTGAAATCAGTTTAATCCCATCCAAATGAAGTGACTGACTAATCAGCTTCTTTTTCAGAGACTCTGGTCCAAAGACTATAACTTCTGTTTTGTCTGCATTCAGAAGCAGAAAGTTAAGAGTCATCCAGGTTTTTATGTCTTCAGACATGCCTGTAATCTATGTAATGGGTTAGCTTCATCTGGATTTATAGACAGATATAGCTGGGTATCATCAGCATAACAGTGGAAATTAATCCCATGCTGTCTAATAATTCTACCAATTGGAAGCATGTATAAAGTAAAGAGAATTGGTCCTAGCACTGATCCCTGTGGTACTCCACAGGTAACCTTTGAGCATGAGGAAGATCTATCATTAACTTGAACAAACTGAATTCGATCAGATAGATAAGATTTAAACCAGTCTAGTGCTGTTCCTTTAATTCCAACAAAATATTCAAGTCTTTCTAAAATAATATTATGATCAACTGTATCAAATGCAGCACTAAGATCCAACAGGACGAGCACAGATACAAGTCCATTATCTGAGACCATGAGAATATCATTAGTGACTTTCACCAGAGCTGTTTCAGTGCTATGATGAGCTCTAAAGCCAGACTGAAACTCTTCAAAAAGTTCATAATGGTGCAAGTGATCACAAACTTGTTTGGCAACTACTTTCTCAAGAATTTTAGATAAGAAAGGAAGATTGGATATAGGTCTATAATTGACCAAGTCATCTGGGTCAAGAGACGGTTTCTTAAGCAGAGGTTTAATTACAGCAACCTGAAAAGCTTTAGGTACATATCCCTGTAACAGAGATAGATTAATCACATCTAAAATGGAGGAGGAGATCAAAGGGAATACCTCCTTAAATAACCTGCTTGGAACTGGATCTAACATCCAAGTTGAAGGCTTAGATGAAGACACTAATTTTGCTAATTCAGAAAGTTCAACTGGATCAAATAAATCTACCTCAGATGCTGCCTCACATTCCAGAGATAAACCAATCATAGTTAGGAGTGTTAATGATCTAATTTGTAATACAATCAATCTTATTTATAAAGAATCCCATAAAATCATTGCTGCTAAGAGCAGGTGGAATGGACGGTTCAACAGAGCTATGGCTCTGGGTGAGTTTGGCAACTGGATTAACCCTTTAAAGCCTTAACCATGAAATAATTGATGGAACATTCTAATTTTGAATGTCATTGAACTTTCTGAAAAAAATGTATAAGTTAAATTAGACAATTTGATACATTAGGCAGTTCTGTATAACCTTTTATGTCTTCTGTTCACTACACGTCTGAATGTTTTATTCTGTGCTTCAAGAGCAAAACCATCTCACTGATGCAGAAGTCTAAAAACTCATGTATCAAATATGATACACTTGGCTTTAAAGGATTAAAAAGAAATCTAGGATTATTCTTATTCTCCTCTATTAATGAGGAGAAGTATGCTGCTCTTGCTTTACAAAGGGTCCTCTTCTACAGCAGTAAACTATTTTTCCAGACTAGGAAGGACTCCTGCAGGCCTGTGGAGCGATATTTTCTCTCCAGTTTCTGAGCATTTTGCTGTGTTAGACCAAGGAGCCAGCTTTCTATTTTTAGAGTTCAAAGGTCAGGGGGATCAGAACCTCAGCTGTCAGCTTCTGGTCTCAGACCTCCTCACTGGACTGACCGTTGCCATGGTTTCTGCCTCCCACAGGGGGGCGCTGGAGGCCTACGTCCAGGTGGTCCGAGCCCGGCAGGGGAAGGAGTTCGCCCCCATGTATCCCATCATGCTGCAGCTGCTGCAGAGGGCCACCAGCGGGGCTCAGGGGCCCAAACCCTGAAAGACCCGGCTTTCAGAACCAGAACCATTTGGTTCTGATGTAGAAACTGGTTCAACTCACGATCATTAATAAAATGAAGGGAATAAAGAAACAAAAGGTTTGCTGGACTTTTCTTTATTAGAACCCCCCCCCCCCCAGAACAGAACCAATCAGACGGGCCACTTCCACTGGTTGGGTGGAGCCTCCTCCACCAGCGGCTCCCACGGCTTCCAGTCCGCCATCTTCCTGGACAGAGCCAGCTCACACTCAGCCTGAAAGACAGGAGGACAGACAATCAGAACCACTGGTCCATCAGAACCACGGGTCCATCAGAACCACGGGTCCAATAGAACCAAGGCTTTGTCCTAAGAGCAGCCTTACAGGTGCTGGTCATAAAATTAGAATATCATGAAAAAGTAGATTGATTTCAGTAATTCCATTTAAAAAGTGAAACTTGTATATTATATTCATACATTACATACAAACTCATATATTTCAGATGTTTATTTTGTTTAATTTTGATGATTACAAATGACAACAAATGAAAATCTCAAATTCATCATATCAGAAAATTAGAATATTGTGAAAAGGTTCAAAATTGATGGCCCCTGGTGCCACACTCTAATCAGCTAATTAACTCAAACCACCTGCAAAAGCCTTTAAATGGTCTTTCAGTCTAGTTCTATAGGCTACACAATCATGGGGAAGACTGCTGACTTGACAGTTGTCCAAAAGACGACCATCGACACCTTGCACAAGGAGGGCAAGACACAAAAGGTCATCGCTAAAGAGGCTGGCTGTTCACAGAGCTCAGTGTCCAAGCACATTAATAGAGAGGCGAAGGGAAGGAAAAGATGTGGTCGAAAAAAGTGTACAAGCAAGAGAGATAACCGCACCCTGGAGAGGATTGTGAAACAAAACCCCTTCAAAAATGTGGGGGAGATTCACAAAGAGTGGACTGCAGCTGGAGTGAGTGCTTCAAGAACCACCACACACAGACGTATGAAAGACATGGGTTTCTGCTGTCGCATTCCTTGTGTCAAGCCACTCTTGAACCACAGACAGCGTCAGAAGCGTCTTGCCTGGGCTAAAGAGAAACAGGACTGGACTGCTGGTGAGTGGTCCAAAGTCATGTTCTCTGATGAAAGTAAATTTTGCATTTCCTTTGGAAATCAAGGTCCCAGAGTCTGGAGGAAAAGAAGAGAGGCACTTCATCCACGTTGCTTGAAGTCCAGTGTAAAGTTTCCACAGTCAGTGATGGTTTGGGGTGCCATGTCATCTGCTGGTGTTGGTCCATTGTGTTTTCTGAGGTCCAGGGTCAACGCAGCCACATACCAGGAAGTTTTAGAGCACTTCATGCTTCCTGCAGCTGACCAACTTTTTGGAGATGCAGATTTCATTTTCCAACAGGACTTGGCACCTGCACACAGTGCCAAAGCTACCAGTACCTGGTTGAAGGGCCATGGTATCCCTGTTCTTAATTGGCCAGCAAACTCTCCTGACCTTAACCCCATAGAAAATCTATGGGGTATTGTGAAGAAGAAGATGCAATACACCAGACCCAACAATTCAGAAGAGCTAAAAGCCACTATTAGAGCAACCTGGGCTATCATAACACCTGAGCAGTGCCACAGACTGATCGACTCCATGCCACGCCGCATTGCTGCAGTAATACAGGCCAAAGGAGGCCCAACTAAATACTGAGTGCTGTACATGCTCATACTTTTCATGTTCATACTTTTCAGTTGGCCAACATTTCTATAAATCCTTTGTTTTTATTGGTCTTCAGTAATATTCTAATTTTCTGATATGATGAATTTGAGATTTTCATTTGTTGTCATTTGTAATCATCAAAATTAAACAAAATAAACATCTGAAATATATGAGTTTGTATGTAATGTATGAATATAATATACAAGTTTCACTTTTTAAATGGAATTACTGAAATCAATCTACTTTTTCATGATATTCTAATTTTATGACCAGCACCTGTAGTTCTGACCCAAACGTTGAACCAGAGTTTCTCCTGTAGATGTTCAGCTGATCCAATAGAACCTGATCTGAGCTCCATTCATGGAGAACCTGAATTTTAGAAAGTGAAAAAAAAACAAATTATATCAGTAAGAATGAAGTTTTATATATCTAGAAATGTTTCCATATTTTAAGTGGCCGTTCTGACATTTATCAGCTTGACTCAAAATATTTTCATGAAATGCCGACCAGTAATATTAGAACTACAGAGATCTCAAATTAAATTCTAGACATCCAGAATGTTTATTCTAGATGTGAAGAATGTCAAGAAAATATATATTTTTTTCAGATATCAGGAATACAAATCAGTAAAACTACTAAATATCAAACTGCTTGCCATAGGCTGCTGTTAATGTGATAATATTACGGGTTTATTTTTTTGAATGGTAATAGATCAATGTATCTATTTAGGTGAAATCTGTCAGCATGTGAGGATAAAGAATAAAAACATTCTATAGAATCTGTTCATCATCTCATGGGTTCCTCCTCATGTTGATTCAGTCTCTTTTACACAGTAAATAATTAGTGTCTGTTTGTTGCTGCGCTTCAGATGTTATCATCCCAATAAATGGTCGTTATTAGCGGCTATCAGTCCCTTAGAATGGCTTCAGATTGGGCCAGTGGGCTCAGCAGGCTGTTATCATTAAAGGAATCCTAATCCTAAAGTAATTAATTTTGTCCCTTGTGGAATTAATCTATTTATGTGTAAACTGAAAATAATCTCAGTATTTCTTCATGTACTGTAAATAAATCTAAATAAAAATAACATTTTTATTTAGATTTGGTTTGTTTCATAAATTTTATTTATGAAACAAACCAAAAACCAGTAATCTCCTCTCCTGTCACTGACTTGTAGAATCCTCTCCCTATAAATATTTCATTCTCTGTGAATTAATTCCCGTCATTCTTTAATAAGATCCTCATCAGACGGACATGAAGTGTTTGTTTTTTAATCTAATGTGTCTAACAGACCTAGTGGATTTTTTCTTTTTTTATGGACGAAACTAGGACAAACATCAGACTAAATCAGTAAATGAAGCAGCGTGGAAACCTGCTGCTGACCAGGTTAGCTCTGGGAGGATGTTACCATGGCAACAGAAACAGAGGATGAGCAAACTCTCTTTGGGAAAACTTAATTTCAGGTTTTATACCTGAAATTCAGTTTTTCAGTGAATTTTGGTGAAACGGATTCTGGACCTCAGAGTTCTGGTCATGTTGGGCCTTCATCCCTGAAGATGAGGAGCACCGTTAGCTTGGTTCCGTATCTAAGCAACAACGTGACGAAGCGTAAAGCTTTTTGAACAGAATCACGGTTCTGATCCAATAAATGTTAGATTAAGTCCGGTCCTGTTCCGAGCCTCCAGAACGGTTCTGATGGAGTCCACTAAGGCCCTGTGCTCTGTATCAGGCCCGTTTAATCTGGATGTCAACCAGAACCGCTCCAGGTTCTGCTGGGTCCGTTTCCCACCTGGAAGATGACCTCTTCGATCTGCCCCCCGTTGATCTTCTTCTCCAGCTTCTCCACGTCTGGTTCCTGGAAACAGAGACAGTCAGTGAGCGGTGCCGCCCTCCCATCTGGACCCGCCGGTTCTGTTCATACGGACCGTTTTCACGTGGTCAAAGCGCTGTGTCACCAGCTGCTCCGTGTACTTCCTGTAGGCGGCGTCCTGCGGCATGCTCTGCAGCGACGCCAGGATCTTGGAGTAGAGGATCCTCAGACGCTGCGGGACACAGGAGAACATTCAGCCAGAACTTCTAGAGACAAGGAGAACTCTGCGGGTTTTGCTCACCTCATGAGGGTTCTGCGACACGGCCAGACCCACCAGGCCCGTGGTCTGGAAGAGAAGAGAGGCTGTGAGCGGGTCGGACCAGAACCTCTGGACAATCCAAACTCCTACAGCATGAAACACCTCATGGGTTCAGAACCGGGTCTGGACCTCTGGAGCAGGATGTCTTCTTTGAAAGGATTCAGTCCGACCAGAACCAGCAGGAACTGGACCTGAGGAGAAAGGCAGGTTCTGGACCTCAGGTGAGATCCTCCAGGTCCAGAACCTCCTTCTCCAGGTTCCAGATGTTTCCAGATGTGGAGCTGCTGGTATGAAGCAGAGGAACATCTGGAACCTGCAGGCAGAGAGCCTGGAGGAGGGTTGGAAAACACTGACCTAGACTTAGATCCTCTAGATGTTAAACTGGGTCTATAAAGGAGCTGCAGGTTTTCCTTCCAACCAAACCTTCATCTCCTCCAGGCTGAACATCTGGAGGAGATGAAGGATTGTTTGGAAAGGAGACCTTCATCCTGCTCCTCCCTGGATTGACCTCCCTGCTCCTCCTGCTCCGCGGCAGTAAACCCAATAGAAGCTTATTGGTTTAGCTTAGCTGTTAGCTTAGCTCCGCTCGGCAGTCAGTCAACCTTCTCCTTCTGCTGCCTCCATCAGGAACATGACTTTTTTTCCCCTTTATAACTTTATTTGAACAGTAACAATAACAAAAATAAAACAATAACATAAAAAAATCACAACATATAGTCAATCATACATTCTAACACTTTTCTTAATATTTATTTCAGTCGCAATGTAAACAGATGTTTACACAATACGTTTATACATTACACTTCCGAAAGAGAAAAAAAATCAAAATCCAAAGATATCTATAATTACATATGTCGAATATAACAGAATTATAATGAAATATAAAAAATAAAAAGCCATGTAATCATTATTCTTTCATTTGTATCGAGGGAGATACAAATTAAAGGGGATAAATTAGAAAGGTGATATGATAAACTTTTTGCTTAGATTTAGAAGATGGATCTCCTGTTTAAATACAGACCATAACGGCTTAGCTTTTCCAAATCTACATTTATGTATATAAAACTTTAAAGTGATAATAATGCTATTAATAAGATATTCAAAGAGATCAGATTCTCTTTTATTTTCAGATAAAAAGCCATATGAGACAGTTTGTGATGAGAAGGGAGCCATGTTTATGTAACTCATAGTCAGTAGAGTGAAAAGATTCCCACAATTTTTTGATAGGTTGACAGAGAAAGAAAAGATGTTCTGTTGTTTCGGTTTCGTTACATATATAACAGTTACATTCAATTTTAAATCGGAACATGACCTCCACCTACCTTCTTCAGTAATCCGGCCATCTTTCTCCGTCCAGACGACCGATCGCCTTTTCCGGCAACTTCAGATGACGTCAGAGGACGCAAGCGTGCCTGCCCACAGAGATGACGTTTTTATCCTGTTCCTTTTTCTTTTTTTTTTTTTTTTATTATTATTGGCAATTCCCTGTAACATTACAGAATTAATCAAACTTCAAGAATAGATATACAACAGTTGGTGAAAGTATAACTTTAAGAAAGACGAGACACAGAAGGTTTTAAAAATAATTAAATAAAAAAAAAAAAAAAAAATATATAAAATAGCTAGGGGTTTACATTGAGTTTACGGTAATTTACAAAATTGTATAATTTTGTAATAATTATAATTTTATACCATTTTCATAAATTTAAGTGATTTAAAATACAAACAAACGTTGAAGTTTATTCGATTGTTGTTGATTATTTTTTCTATGAATCGATTAATAATCAGATCAGCCAAAGGTTCCTTAAAGATTTTTTTACGAAATGAAACCAGGTGAAACAGAAACGTTTCCTCTTCAGGAATTCTGGATGGAGAATATTAAAAGATAAAAACTTTTTTTATCCTAAATGCAAAATGTTTACATATTTTTTACAATCTTGGTATAATTCCTGCTCTAAGTGGGTCGCTCTGTCGGCTAAAGGCACATTTTAGTGGCTCTATACTCCAGTTAATGGTTAATCAATTACTAAATTAGTTGACGATAATTTAAATAATTGATTGATATAATTAATTGTTTCATCCATAGATAAAATACATGAAATGGGCGACACAGAGTAACTACAGCCCAGATGTACAACTTGTATAGTGAAGTTAATATTTTATATTGTCGGTGTCAATTCAATCAATTCAATTCAGTTTATTTATATAGCGCCAAATTCACAACACATGTCATCTCAAGGCACTTTACAGTTCAACCAGATCATACAGTCAAATCGATACAAAGTTTTCTATCTAAGGAAAACCAGTTGATTGCATCGACTCATTGACTCAAATACAATCCCCCACACTAAGCATGCTTGTAGCGACAGTGGAGAGGAAAAACTCCCTTTTAACAGGAAGAAACCTCCAGCAGAACCAGGCTCAGTGTGAGCGGCCATCTGCCGAGGCCGACTGGGGTTCAAGGAGACAGAAGCAGAGATACAAAAAGCAGCTGTAAAAGGCGGCCCCGTCCAGGAAACACACAGCCAGGCAGACGAGCTCCAAGGCAGCTCCCATGCCAGAGGACGAAGAGAGCACATCCACTCAGTCACGGTCAGAGAAACAGGACCACACTGGAAAACAGGCCGATCTCCAACATCTACAAACAAAGGTGTTGATAGAAGCAGCACAGCTGATGTTTCTTTCCAGGATGACGTCACAGCCAAACAGGAACAGACGAGGCAAAGCTACTCTGAGGAAAAGCAGAGAGAGCAGAAGGTTAGAGATTGAACTAACAGATTCTGCAGAATAGGAGAACAGAGAGAGAATGAAGCAGAATGATGAAATGGGGGTCCCTATGTCCTCCAAAAGTCTAAGCCTATAGCAGCATAACTATAGAGATAGCTCAGGATAACCTGAGCCACCCTAACTATAAGCTTTATCAAAAAGGAAAGTTTTAAGCCTAGCCTTAAAAGTAGACAGGGTGTCTGCCTCACGGACTAAAACTGGTAGTTGGTTCCACAGGAGAGGAGCCTGATAACTAAAAGATCTGCCTCCCATTCTACTTTTAGACATTCTAGGAACCACTAGTGAACCTGCAGATTGAGAGCGAAGTGCTCTGTTAGGAACATAAGGAACAATCAGATCTCTGATATAAGATGGAGCTTGGCCATTTAAGGCTTTATATGTGAGAAGGAGGATTTTAAATTCTATTCTTGATTTAACAGGAAGCCAATGAAGAGAAGCCAGGATAGGAGAGATATGATCTCTCTTTTTCATTTTCATTAGAACTCTGGCTGCAGCATTTTGGATCAGCTGAAGGCTTTTAACTACAGTTTGTGGACTTCCTGATAGTAAAGAATTACAATAGTCCAGCCTTGAAGTAACAAATGCATGGACTAGTTTCTCAGCATCACCCCTGGACAGGAGATTTCTATTTTTTGCAATGTTCCTCAGATGAAAGAAGGAAATTCTAGAAACCTCTTTGATCTGGGATTTAAATGACAGGTCCTGATCAAAAACAACACCAAGATTTTTTACTTTATTATCTGAGATCAGTTTAATCCCATCCAAATGAAGTGACTGGCTAATCAGTTTCTTTTTCAGAGACTCTGGTCCAAAGACTATAACTTCTGTTTTGTCTGCATTCAGAAGCAGAAAGTTAAGAGTCATCCAGGTTTTTATGTCTTCAGACATGCCTGTAATCTATGTAATGGGTTAGCTTCATCTGGATTATAGACAGATATAGCTGAGTATCATCAGCATAACAGTGGAAATTAATCCCATGCTGTCTAATAATTCTACAGATTGGGAGCATGTATAAAGTAAAGAGAATTGGTCCTAGCACTGATCCCTGTGGTACTCCACAGGTAACCTTTGAGCGTGTTGAAGATCTATCATTAACATGAACAAACTGAATTTGATCAGATAGATAAGATTTAAACCAGTCTAGTGCTGTTCCTTTAATTTCAACAAAATATTCAAGTCTTTCTAAAAGAATATTATGGTCAACTGTATCAAATGCAGCACTGAGATCCAACAGGACGAGCACAGATACAAGTCCATTATCTGAGGCCATGAGAATATCATTAGTGACTTTCACCAGAGCTGTTTCAGTGCTATGATGAGCTCTAAAGCCAGACTGAAACTCTTCAAAAAGTTCATTATGGTGGAAGTGATTGCAAACTTGTTTGGCAACTACTTTCTCAAGAATTTTGGATAAGAAAGGAAGATTGGATATAGGTCTATAATTAACCAAGTCATCTGGGTCAAGAGACGGTTTCTTAAGCAGAGGTTTAATTACAGCAACCTTAAAAGCTTTAGGTACATATCCCTGTAACAGAGATATATTAATCACATCTAAAATGGAGGAGGAGATCAAAGGGAATACCTCCTTAAATAACCTGGTTGGAACTGGATCTAACATACAAGTTGAAGGCTTAGATGAAGACAATAGTTTTGCTAATTCAGAAAGTTCAACTGGATCAAAGCAGTCTAAACCCGGTTCAGATTCCATGACTACCTCAGGTACAATCGCGGATAGAGGAGTGCTTATGATCTTATTTTTAATAAGATCAATCTTATTTATAAAGAATCCCATAAAATCATTGCTGCTAAGAGCAGGTGGAATGGACGGTTCAACAGAGCTATGGCTCTGGGTGAGTTTGGCAACTGTATTAAAAAGAAATCTAGGATTATTCTTATTCTCCTCTATTAATGAGGAGAAGTATGCTGCTCTTGCTTTACAAAGGGTCCTCTTATACAGCAGTAAACCATTTTTCCAGACTAGGAAGGACTCTCGCAGGCCTGTGGAGCGATATTTTCTCTCCAGTTTCCTAGCATTTTGCTTCAAAGTACGCAGCTCTGCATTAAACCAAGGAGCAAGCTTTCTATTTTTAACGGTTTTCATTTTCAAAGGAGCTGCGTTGTCTAAGGCAATACGCAGAGAACTGTCAGTTCCTCTTATAGTTCCACTGCACATGTAAATACAAATATTTGTATTTATTCGGTTATAAATTTTGCATGATACAGAGAGAGCATATTAGATTAAAAAAATAAGAGTGGGGTTTACCTCTGGTTACCTCTGCACAATTCTACATCTTCAATAGAAAACAGAGGATAAATCCACATATAACAGACATATTTAGACTATATTTGGTTAAATATTTACCTTCTGTCTTAGTCGCTGGTTACTTTAAATGCAAACCTGGAAAGAAGTGCTATTTCCACATTGATCAGAGCCAGTGTTGCTTTAAATATTGATAAACAGCATCTGGTGAGTGTAGAGCTGATAAGATTTATATTAATGTAGCAGAAATGCTGCTGTTCTCTTTAAACAAAGTGTTTCCTGATGCTCACATTAAGCATAAAATAGAGCATCAATATTTTTGCAAAGGCCATCCTGCATTCATCCACCTGCTGCCAAGACGTCTGAATCTTTTGTTTTTCTCTAAATAACAGGTTGATCAGAGAGCGGCCATATCAGCAACACATTTATAAATTTGATTAAAGTTTGATTAAAAGAATAATGAAGTCAACAACCAAACATTAGAGATCATTTACTGATATATTTTTGTATAACAAATGTTCATTTGCTGCCTCTGTTCTTTTACTGAACTGTAGAAAACAGAACAACCGACACCAGAAAACTGACATGTAGCCGTCCTCCTACATGCCTGATGGACCCTGTTCCTACGGTAACTGCAGCATCACACATGATCAATGCCTCACTGACATCAGGCATGTTTCCTAACTCACCCTCCATCCCACCGACTCAGGTGGAAAACTATGGGCCCGTCTCTCTAACACCATAGAAAGGACAGTCTTTAAGCAGGTCCTCTCACTCCTTGATAGAAACCAGTCTGGGTTTAAAAAGGCCGCTCCACTGAAAAAGCTGATATATGTGGCAGAAGCCATAAAAGAGGGAAGTTCTCATCCTGCTTATCAGCTGCAGTCGACCAGGACATCCTTCTGTCTAAAGTATCCTGGCTTGGTCTCACCACAGGGGTTCCTCAAGGTTCAGTACTGGGACCTCCATCATACGTCCACTGCCTCAGAGATACTGTATTTTATTAAACTTGAGAAAATCCGTCTTATTTTAAGAGGCTCTTCGGTGAGATTTCTGGGTTTGTGGAGCTCCTTGTTAAAAGTCCTTATTCATTTACTGAATATCTCAGACTGATGAGGTGAAACGTATGTAGCTGTTATTATTCGTATCTTTTTTTTCTTGTCTGGAGTTAAGTGTGTCTGATATATCAACAGCAGTGTCTCCTGACACCTGAGGACTGTTTGGACTGTGGAAAAAGATGAACATAGTTTTAATACTGTGGTTCTTTTTACTTTATCTTCTGATATATCTGTCTCTATCCACTTTCTCATTATGTTCGCCTGACTTGATCCTTTTTTTTTTTTTTATTTGTTATTAATATTCTGTGTGGGAGTAATTATGTGGGTATTCTGCAGAGATGGCAAAAGTACTCACTTTCCGTACTTGAGTAACAGTACAGATACTTGTGTTAAAAAATACTCTGGTAAAAGTGGAAGTACTGATTAAACTTCTTTACTCAAGTAAAAGTAGCAAAGTACAGGCTTGTAAATTTACTTAAAGTATAAAAGTAAAAGTAGAAACCACTTTTTTCCTGCCGTTGCCTACATTTTAAATGGATGTCTGCCAATAGGACTAGATCTCCGTTGTGTTCATTTTCAATCATCTCGTCGTCCATGCTACTATGCTAACGCCACCGCCACCAAGCTGCAATGATTTGCAGCGAATGAATACCGCCGAATCTGTCGATTCATCTTGTAGTGGTGCGTCAAATGCAACGTAGATTCCCATCCAATTAGATTGAATTTGGTATTGGTGACGTGAAAAATAATAACGGTAACTCCATTGAAATGATTCAAAACTAAAGTAACGAGACAATTTTTTTAAAATGTAAGGAGTAGAAAGTACAGATATTTGTGTAAAAATGTAAGGAGTAGATGTAAAAAGTCGCCATAAAAATAAGTAGTAAAGTAAAAATATCAGAAAAATCTACTTGAGTACAGTAACGAAGTATTTGTACTTAGTTACTTCCCATGTCTAGTATTCTGGGGTTTGTTCTAACCTAATTATGTTTATATGTTAAAGTAACATTGTTAAGTATATAACTATTGCAGTGTCTTTACATTGTACCACATGTTAAAGCATAAACAAACATTGGGGAAAAAGGTTCCATACTGGGACCTCTCCTCTTTGCCTGATCCAGCAGCTCGCTGGGCCAGATCATTCCATCACACGGCTTCATATATCGCTGTTATGCTGATGACACCCAGCGCTACCTGTTTCCACCTGATGACCACACAGTCTCAGCACGCATCCCAGACTATAACACATGTCAAAATAGATGGAAGCCCATCGCCTCCAACTGAATCTCTGAAACTAAACAGCTTGTTTTTGCAGCCAAACCAATCAGACACCATGATGTCCAAGTCCAGACTGGATCCCAGTCTCTGACTCGGCAGCAAGAACCTCATCATGCTTGATGACCAGCTGACCTTAAAGATCTCAATCTTGTTGCTTTACACTAGTAAAGATTAGAAGGATCCGGCCATAGCTAACCCAACATGCTACCCAGCTCCTGGTGCAGTCTATCTCCCACCTTCACCCCCGTAGACTGCTCTGCCAGCCTGTACAGTCAATCCGTTTCAATTGATCCAGAACGTGGCGGCGTGGCTGGTCTTCAATCAGCCCAAAAAGTCTCACCTCACCCCTGTGTCCATTGAGCTTCATTGTTTAGCCCCGGTTGCCCACATCAAGTCCCTGATGCTAGCCTAGAGTGCTAAAGGGTACGATTCCCGGCTACCTGAACCCTCTTCTGTCACAACTCGGTCACTCTGGTCAGCAATGGACCGTCGTCTAGCAGCGCCTACACCACGCTGAAGACAATCCAGACGGTCTCCATGGATTGTTCCAAGATGGTGGAATGGCCTACAGCGTCTTTCTATCATCAGGAAATTCCTAAAGGCCAACCTCTTCAAAGACTATCTATCTATGCCCCACAGATCTATTCTCTACTCTCCGTTCTTCTTTCCATCTAGAGAACTTACTGATGGTAACGCATAAATGCATAAACAAACCAGAAGTTTGGATGTAGAATGAAATAGATCTCTATATAGGTCTATAGAGGCAGACTTTTATCGGTTTACAGACTATTTTAGTGGTTTTTGCAGTGAGCTGCATGTTAAATGTTTACTAATCCGATCCAACCAGCGTTAGATCGTTAGAGGCGTTAGCCTCCGTAACACCATGCCAACTGCAGCGTTAGCCTCCGTTGCAGCATTAGCCTCCATTGCAGCATGCCATTACAGCACGCCAACTGCAGCGTTAGCCTCCGTTGCAGCACACCAACTGCAGCGTAAGCCTCTGTTGCAGCATTAGCCTCCATTGCAGCATGCCATTACAGCACGCCAACTGCAGCGTTAGCCTCCGTTGCAGCACGCCAACTACAGCGTTAGCCTCCGTTGCAGCACGCCAACTGCAGCGTTAGCCTCCGTTGCAGCACGCCAACTGCAGCATTAGCCTCCGTTGCAGCACACCAACTGCAGCGTAAGCCTCTGTTGCAGCATTAGCCTCCATTGCAGCATGCCATTACAGCACGCCAACTGCAGCGTTAGCCTCCGTTGCAGCACGCCAACTACAGCGTTAGCCTCCGTTGCAGCACGCCAACTGCAGCGTTAGCCTCCGTTGCAGCATGCTAACTGCAGCGTTAGCCTCCTGGTCGGGTCCAATCAGAACACGCTCTGGGTGAGGCAGCAGGTTCCTGAAGCCGCAGCATGCGAGGGAACCAGCGACCGCGGTCCGTGTCAGAACGGCAGGATGCCATTAATGACCAACAACAGCTCATTTTCAGACTTTTATTAAAACTTCATCTAGAAAAAGTAGAAAAATATATTACATTCTTTATTTACAGAGATTCTGACTACGATCCTCAGTTCTACAGCAAAGCAGCGCGTTCCTACAACCTGAGCCTAACGACAACTAAAGGGACGCCGCCACCCAGAGGGGGACGGAGTGAGGGACGCCGTCATCCTGGGAGGGGGGGGCGGAGGGAAGCCGTCACCAAGGCCTCCTGGGGAGGGACCAAGAAGAACCTTCATCTGGAGACCCGCAGGAGGCCAGAAGTCTTCATCAGAAAAACATCCTGAGGAGAGAAGAGAGGATGATGGTGAGGACGATGATGAACAGAACAGAGGATGAAGATGAGGCTCCGCCCCCTCCCACCTGTAGATGTTGGGGGCCAGTAGGACAGCCGTGTCTGTGGGCAGCTTGGACAGATGGACCACCTTGGTCTTCAGCTGCAGTCTGTCGCCTTCATTCACCCAAACGTCTGGAAGTCTGAGGAACACAGAGACACTTCAGCCAGAGGAGACCAGGGGGGGACTGGGGTCAGAGGTCACCGGGGTCAGGACTTACATGTCTTCAGGCGTCCAGTGCAGCAGCACCTTCACTTTGCCAGAGTCCTCTCTTCTCTTGGCGATCACCTGGAAGCAGAGACAGCAGAGGTCAGATGCTGCTCTCTGAGGGGGGGTGGGGGTGGCGGTGTGGGGGGTCCCACCGTGCTGTGGAAAACCACGCTGTGTCCGTTCCCCTGGCTCTCAATGTGGGTGGCCAGGTTCAGGCAGATGGCGCGGTGGCGGATGGCCTCCATGGTCTGAGCATCGAAGAAGTCATGAGGTCGAGCTGGAGGAGGAGAATGGGGGGGGTGTTAGCTCCTTCTCCTAGAGATGACCTTTAACCCCACGGTTCCACTGAACACGGATTCTGTCTCAGCAGCAGCTAATGATCGGATGTCTCAGCGTAAAACGCCATCTAAGGCGTTTTACGCTGAAACTCCAGCGACTTCCTGCTCTGATCCAGATGGACTAGAAGCGTGAAAAATAGATCCGCTGTGGACTTCAGAGAGGCGTTCAGCGGGGCGGGCTACCGGGAAGCGCCGCGGCGTCTGGAACGCTCTGACTGACTACAGCGAGCGCCATCCACTGCGCCGTTTACCCGTTCAGTGGGACTGTGGGGTAACAGGAAACGGAAATGATGGGCAGTCGGGGGGGGTAGTCGTACGCAGTGAGCGGCGGTATTTGCTCCTCATCTTCCTCCTCTTCATCCCAGCCTTGGACGGAGACTCCTCCTTCACTCTGCCCTGACCGGACGCCTTGGAGGAACCCTGGGAGCTGAAGTGGGTGGGAACATGGCGCGCTAGCCCCCCCTGGGATGCAAACGTGGCGTTGCAGCCCCCGACCACACACTGCAAGAAGCAGATAGAGAGGATGAGGGAGGCGCGGCAGGGGAGGAGCAGGAGGAGCAGAGGGAGGAGCAGGAGGAGCAGAGGGAGGAGCAGCTTACCTTGAAGGGCTTGTCCCCACTGTGGGACAGCATGTGTCTCTGCAGCCAGCTGTGGCTGGTGGACGGCGTGTTGTAGACCTTACAGCTCTTCCACAGACACACGAACACCTGGAGCACAGACACAGCCATCAGAACCACCACCAACATCTGGACTGCTGCACACTGCCTGTCAGCAGCTGAGGCCAACAGTCACTACAGAAAGGACACGCAAGGTCGGTAACCATGGAAACCATCACTGGCAGCTCAGAACCAAGGACCGGTCAGCTGGTCCAGGAGGTTAGATGAAGAATCAGAACCAGAAACCAGCAGGAAACACCAAACAGAACCGACCAGAACTAAAGCTTTATGGAGGACCGAGGGCAGAACCAAAGCTTTAAGGAGGACCGAGGGCAGAACCACAGCTTTAAGGTGGACCAAGGTCTTAAAAGGAACTAAAGCTTTAAGGAGGACCGAGGGCAGAACCAAAGCTTTAAGGAGGACCGAGGGCAGAACCACAGCTTTAAGGTGGACCAAGGTCTTAAAAGGAACTAAAGCTTTAAGGAGGACCGAGGGCAGAACCAAAGCTTTAAGGTGGACCGAGGGCTTAAAAGGAACTAAAGCTTTAAGGAGGACCGGGTGCAGAACCAGAGCTAAAGCTTTAAGGAGGACAGAAGGCAGAACCAGAACTAAAGCTTTAAGGTGGACAGAGGGCAGAACCAGAACCAAAGCTTTAAGGTGGACAGAACCAGAACTAAAGCTTTAAGGAGGACAGAACCAGAACTAAAGCTTTAAGGAGGACAGAACCAGAACTAAAGCTTTAAGGAGGACAGAACCAAAACTAAAGCTTTAAGGAGGAAAGAGGGCAGAACCAGAACTAAAGCTTTAAGGAGGACAGAACCAGAACTAAAGCTTTTAGTGGGACCGGGTGCAGAACCAGAGCTAAAGCTTTAAGGTGGAAAGAGGGCAGAACCAAAACTAAAGCTTTAAGGAGGACCGAGGGCAGAACCACAGCTTTAAGGTGGACCAAGGTCTTAAAAGGAACTAAAGCTTTAAGGAGGACCGAGGGCAGAACCAAAGCTTTAAGGTGGACCGAGGGCTTAAAAGGAACTAAAGCTTTAAGGAGGACCGGGTGCAGAACCAGAGCTAAAGCTTTAAGGAGGACAGAGGGCAGAACCAGAACTAAAGCTTTAAGGTGGACAGAGGGCAGAACCAGAACCAAAGCTTTAAGGAGGACAGAAGGCAGAACCAGAACTAAAGCTTTAAGGTGGACAGAGGGCAGAACCAGAACCAAAGCTTTAAGGAGGAAAGAGGGCAGAAGCAGAACTAAAGCTTTAAGGTGGACAGAGGGCAGAACCAGAGCTAAAGCTTTTAGGAGGACAGAAGGCAGAACCAGAACCAAAGCTTTAAGGTGGACCTAGGGCAGAACCAGAACTAAAGCTTTAAGGAGGACAGAAGGCAGAACCAGAACCAAAGCTTTAAGGTGGACCTAGGGCAGAACCAGAACTAAAGCTTTAAGGAGGACCGGGTGCAGAACCAGAGCTAAAGCTTTAAGGAGGACAGAAGGCAGAACCAGAACTAAAGCTTTAAGGTGGACAGAGGGCAGAACCAGAACTAAAGCTTTAAGGAGGAAAGAGGGCAGAAGCAGAACTAAAGCTTTAAGGTGGACAGAGGGCAGAACCAGAGCTAAAGCTTTAAGGAGGACAGAAGGCAGAACCAGAACTAAAGCTTTAAGGTGGACAGAGGGCAGAACCAGAACTAAAGCTTTAAGGAGGAAAGAGGGCAGAAGCAGAACTAAAGCTTTAAGGTGGACAGAGGGCAGAACCAGAGCTAAAGCTTTTAGGAGGACAGAAGGCAGAACCAGAACCAAAGCTTTAAGGTGGACCTAGGGCAGAACCAGAACTAAAGCTTTAAGGAGGACAGAAGGCAGAACCAGAACCAAAGCTTTAAGGTGGACCTAGGGCAGAACCAGAACTAAAGCTTTAAGGAGGACCGGGTGCAGAACCAGAGCTAAAGCTTTAAGGAGGACAGAAGGCAGAACCAGAACTAAAGCTTTAAGGTGGACAGAGGGCAGAACCAGAACTAAAGCTTTAAGGAGGAAAGAGGGCAGAAGCAGAACTAAAGCTTTAAGGTGGACAGAGGGCAGAACCAGAGCTAAAGCTTTAAGGTGGACAGAGGGCAGAACCAGAACTAAAGCTTTAAGGAGGAAAGAGGGCAGAAGCAGAACTAAAGCTTTAAGGTGGACAGAGGGCAGAAGCAGAACTAAAGCTTTAAGGTGGACAGAGGGCAGAACCAGAGCTAAAGCTTTAAGGTGGATAGAGGGCAGAACCAGAGCTAAAGCTTTAAGGTGGACAGAGGGCAGAAGCAGAACTAAAGCTTTAAGGCGGACAGAGGGCAGAACCAGAACTAAAGCTTTAAAGTGGACAGAGGGCAGAACCAGAACTAAAGCTTTAAGGAGGACTGAGGGCAGAACCAGAACTAAAGCTTTAAGGTGGACAGAGGGCAGAACCAGAACTAAAGCTTTAAGGTGGACAGAGGGCAGAACCAGAACCAAAGCTATAAGGAGGGCCGAGGGCAGAACCAGAACTAAAGCTTTAAGGTGGACAGAGGGCAGAACCAGAACTAAAGCTTTAAGGTGGACAGAGGGCAGAACCAGAAATAAAGCTTTAAGGAGGAAAGAGGGCAGAACCAGAACTAAAGCTTTAAGGAGGACAGAGGGCAGGACCAGAACTAAAGCTTTAAGGTGGACAGAGGGCAGAACCAGAACTAAAGCTTTAAGGAGGAAAGAGGGCAGAACCAGGACTAAAGCTTTAAGGAGGAAAGAGGGCAGAACCAGAACTAAAGCTTTAAGGTGGACAGAGGGCAGAACCAGAACTAAAGCTTTAAGGAGGACAGAAGGCAGAACCAGAACTAAAGCTTTAAGGAGGACAGAAGGCAGTACCAGAACTAAAGCTTTAAGGAGGACAGAAGGCAGGACCAGAACTAAAGCTTTAAGGTGGACAGAGGGCAGAACCAGAACTAAAGCTTTAAGGTGGACAGAGGGCAGAACCAGAACTAAAGCTTTAAGGTGGACAGAGGGCAGAACCAGAACTAAAGCTTTAAGGTGGACCGGGGGCAGAACCAGAACTAAAGCTTTAGTGAGGACTGAGGGCAGAACCAGAACCAAAGCTATAAGGTGGACCTTGGGCAGAACCAAAGCTTTAAGGAGGACCGAGGGCAGAAGCAGAACTAAAGCTTTAAGGTGGACAGAGGGCAGAACCAGAACTAAAGCTTTAAGGTGGACAGAGGGCAGAACCAGAACTAAAGCTTTAAGGTGGACAGAGGGCAGAACCAGAACTAAAGCTTTAAGGAGGACAGAGGGCAGAAGCAGAACTAAAGCTTTAAGGAGGAAAGAGGGCAGAAGCAGAACTAAAGCTTTAAGGTGGACAGAGGGCAGAACCAGAGCTAAAGCTTTAAGGTGGACAGAGGGCAGAACCAGAACTAAAGCTTTAAGGAGGAAAGAGGGCAGAACCAGAACTAAAGCTTTAAGGTGGACAGAGGGCAGAACCAGGACTAAAGCTTTAAGGAGGAAAGAGGGCAGAACCAGAACTAAAGCTTTAAGGTGGACAGAGGGCAGAACCAGAACTAAAGCTTTAAGGAGGACAGAAGGCAGAACCAGAACTAAAGCTTTAAGGAGGACAGAAGGCAGTACCAGAACTAAAGCTTTAAGGAGGACAGAAGGCAGGACCAGAACTAAAGCTTTAAGGTGGACAGAGGGCAGAACCAGAACTAAAGCTTTAAGGTGGACAGAGGGCAGAACCAGAACTAAAGCTTTAAGGTGGACAGAGGGCAGAACCAGAACTAAAGCTTTAAGGTGGACAGAGGGCAGAACCAGAACTAAAGCTTTAAGGTGGACCGGGGGCAGAACCAGAACTAAAGCTTTAGTGAGGACTGAGGGCAGAACCAGAACCAAAGCTATAAGGTGGACCTTGGGCAGAACCAAAGCTTTAAGGAGGACCGAGGGCAGAATCAGAACTAAAGCTTTAAGGTGGACAGAGGGCAGAACCAGAACTAAAGCTTTAAGGTGGACAGAGGGCAGAACCAGAAATAAAGCTTTAAGGTGGACAGAGGGCAGAACCAGAACTAAAGCTTTAAGGAGGAAAGAGGGCAGAAGCAGAACTAAAGCTTTAAGGTGGACAGAGGGCAGAAGCAGAACTAAAGCTTTAAGGTGGCCAGAGGGCAGAACCAGAACCAAAGCTTTTAGGAGGACAGAAGGCAGAACCAGAACCAAAGCTTTAAGGTGGACCTAGGGCAGAACCAGAACTAAATCTTTAAGGAGGACAGAAGGCAGAACCAGAACCAAAGCTTTAAGGTGGACCTAGGGCAGAACCAGAACTAAAGCTTTAAGGAGGACCGGGTGCAGAACCAGAGCTAAAGCTTTAAGGAGGACAGAAGGCAGAACCAGAACTAAAGCTTTAAGGTGGACAGAGGGCAGAACCAGAACTAAAGCTTTAAGGAGGAAAGAGGGCAGAAGCAGAACTAAAGCTTTAAGGTGGACAGAGGGCAGAACCAGAACTAAAGCTTTAAGGAGGAAAGAGGGCAGAAGCAGAACTAAAGCTTTAAGGTGGACAGAGGGCAGAAGCAGAACTAAAGCTTTAAGGTGGACAGAGGGCAGAACCAGAACTAAAGCTTTAAGGTGGACAGAGGGCAGAACCAGAGCTAAAGCTTTAAGGTGGACAGAGGGCAGAACCAGAACTAAAGCTTTAAGGAGGAAAGAGGGCAGAAGCAGAACTAAAGCTTTAAGGTGGACAGAGGGCAGAACCAGAGCTAAAGCTTTAAGGTGGACAGAGGGCAGAACCAGAGCTAAAGCTTTAAGGTGGAAAGAGGGTAGAACCAGAACTAAAGCTTTAAGGTGGCCAGAGGGCAGAACCAGAACTAAAGCTTTAAGGTGGCCAGAGGGCAGAACCAGAACTAAAGCTTTTAGGAGGACAGAAGGCAGAACCAGAACTAAAGCTTTAAGGTGGACAGAGGGCAGAACCAGAACTAAAGCTTTAAGGAGGAAAGAGGGCAGAAGCAGAACTAAAGCTTTAAGGTGGACAGAGGGCAGAACCAGAACTAAAGCTTTAAGGTGGCCAGAGGGCAGAACCAGAACTAAAGCTTTAAGGAGGAAAGAGGGCAGAAGCAGAACTAAAGCTTTTAGGAGGACAGAAGGCAGAACCAGAACTAAAGCTTTAAGGAGGAAAGAGGGCAGAACCAGAACTAAAGCTTTAAGGAGGACAGAGGGCAGGACCAGAACTAAAGCTTTAAGGTGGACAGAGGGCAGAATCAGAACTAAAGCTTTAAGGAGGAAAGAGGGCAGAACCAGAACTAAAGCTTTAAGGTGGACAGAGGGCAGAACCAGGACTAAAGCTTTAAGGAGGAAAGAGGGCAGAACCAGAACTAAAGCTTTAAGGTGGACAGAGGGCAGAACCAGAACTAAAGCTTTAAGGAGGACAGAAGGCAGAACCAGAACTAAAGCTTTAAGGAGGACAGAAGGCAGAACCAGAACTAAAGCTTTAAGGTGGACAGAGGGCAGAACCAGAACTAAAGCTTTAAGGTGGACAGAGGGCAGAACCAGAACTAAAGCTTTAAGGTGGACCGGGGGCAGAACCAGAACTAAAGCTTTAGTGAGGACTGAGGGCAGAACCAGAACCAAAGCTATAAGGTGGACCTTGGGCAGAACAAAAGCTTTAAGGAGGACCGAGGGCAGAATCAGAACTAAAGCTTTAAGGTGGACAGAGGGCAGAACCAGAACTAAAGCTTTAAGGTGGACAGAGGGCAGAACCAGAACTAAAGCTTTAAGGTGGACAGAGGGCAGAACCAGAACTAAAGCTTTAAGGAGGACAGAGGGCAGAAGCAGAACTAAAGCTTTAAGGAGGAAAGAGGGCAGAAGCAGAACTAAAGCTTTAAGGTGGACCGAGGGCAGAAGCAGAACCAAAGCTTTAAGGAGGAAAGAGGGCAGAAGCAGAACTAAAGCTTTAAGGTGGCCAGAGGGCAGAAGCAGAACTAAAGCTTTAAGGAGGAAAGAGGGCAGAAGCAGAACTAAAGCTTTAAGGTGGACCGAGGGCAGAAGCAGAACCAAAGCTTTAAGGAGGAAAGAGGGTAGAACCAGAACTAAAGCTTTTAGGAGGACAGAAGGCAGAACCAGAACCAAAGCTTTAAGGTGGACCTAGGGCAGAACCAGAACTAAAGCTTTAAGGAGGACAGAAGGCAGAACCAGAACCAAAGCTTTAAGGTGGACCTAGGGCAGAACCAGAACTAAAGCTTTAAGGAGGACCGGGTGCAGAACCAGAGCTAAAGCTTTAAGGAGGACAGAAGGCAGAACCAGAACTAAAGCTTTAAGGTGGACAGAGGGCAGAACCAGAACTAAAGCTTTAAGGAGGAAAGAGGGCAGAAGCAGAACTAAAGCTTTAAGGTGGACAGAGGGCAGAACCAGAGCTAAAGCTTTAAGGTGGACAGAGGGCAGAAGCAGAACTAAAGCTTTAAGGTGGACAGAGGGCAGAACCAGAACTAAAGCTTTAAGGTGGACAGAGGGCAGAACCAGAGCTAAAGCTTTAAGGTGGACAGAGGGCAGAACCAGAACTAAAGCTTTAAGGAGGAAAGAGGGCAGAAGCAGAACTAAAGCTTTAAGGTGGACAGAGGGCAGAAGCAGAACTAAAGCTTTAAGGTGGACAGAGGGCAGAACCAGAGCTAAAGCTTTAAGGTGGACAGAGGGCAGAAGCAGAACTAAAGCTTTAAGGAGGACTGAGGGCAGAACCAGAACTAAAGCTTTAAGGTGGACAGAGGGCAGAACCAGAACTAAAGCTTTAAGGTGGACAGAGGGCAGAACCAGAACTAAAGCTTTAAGGAGGACTGAGGGCAGAACCAGAACTAAAGCTTTAAGGTGGACAGAGGGCAGAACCAGAACTAAAGCTTTAAGGTGGACAGAGGGCAGAACCAGAACCAAAGCTATAAGGAGGACCGAGGGCAGAACCAGAACTAAAGCTTTAGGGAGGACCGAGGGCAGAACCAGAACTAAAGCTTTAAGGTGGACAGAGGGCAGAACCAGAACTAAAGCTTTAAGGTGGACAGAGGGCAGAACCAGAACTAAAGCTTTAGTGAGGACTGAGGGCAGAACCAGAACTAAAGCTTTAAGGAGGACCGAGGGCAGAACCAGAACTAAAGCTTTAAGGTGGACCGGGGGCAGAACCAGAACTAAAGCTTTAGTGAGGACTGAGGGCAGAACCAGAACTAAAGCTTTAAGGTGGACAGAGGGCAGAACCAGAACTAAAGCTTTAAGGTGGACAGAGGGCAGAACCAGAACTAAAGCTTTAAGGTGGACAGAGGGCAGAACCAGAACTAAAGCTTTAAGGTGGACAGAGGGCAGAACCAGAACCAAAGCTATAAGGAGGACCGAGGGCAGAACCAGAACTAAAGCTTTAAGGAGGACCGAGGGCAGAACCAGAACTAAAGCTTTAAGGTGGACCGGGGGCAGAACCAGAACTAAAGCTTTAGTGAGGACTGAGGGCAGAACCAGAACTAAAGCTTTGAGGAGGACCGAGGGCAGAACCAGAACCAAAGCTATAAGGAGGACCGAGGGCAGAACCAAAGCTTTAAGGAGGACCGAGGGCAGAACCAGAACCAAAGCTATAAGGAGGACCGAGGGCAGAACCAGAACCAAAGCTATAAGGAGGACCGAGGGCAGAACCAGAACTAAAGCTTTAAGGTGGACAGAGGGCAGAACCAGAACTAAAGCTTTGAGGAGGACCGAGGGCAGAACCAGAACCAAAGCTATAAGGAGGACCGAGGGCAGAACCAGAACTAAAGCTAACTCTTCTACTACTGAACATCTACTTCCACGAGTTGAAACAGAGGAGGTGCTGCGGATGCAGAGCAGGAGAACATAGAGGAGCAGGAAATATAAACCATCTCTTCCATCAGTCATCATGGGCAATATGAGATCTTTAGGAAACCAGTTAGAAGAACTCCCAGTCCCAGCAAGGACCCAGTCAGAATATCAGCAATGCAGCATTTTGTGTTTAACTGAAACCTGGCTGCAGGATCATATATCTGACTGCAGCGTCTCTTTGCTGTCTGAGCAAACCAGCAGAGATTTAAAGGAGACTGGAAAACTATGAGGTGGTTAGCAGCATTAGTGAACAACAGATGATGTCATCCAGGACAGACGATGTCATCCAGGACCTATTAAGGTGAAGATTCATCTCTGCAGCCCAGATATTGAACTGATGGCTGTTGGTTTTCATCCATATTATTTACCCAGAGAGTTCAGCAGTGTTTTGTTGGTAACCGCTTATATTCCACCTTCTGCTGTTGCCATCACTGCATGTGAAGTCATCAGCTCTTTTGCTAAGCTACAGACACAGCAGCCAAATGCATTTGTGATAATAACTGCTGATTTGAATCACGTCTCACTCTCTGCTACGCTGCCAACGTTCCAACAGCTGCTGAACCAGAGAAAACAAACCTTTGGACTAATTTTATGTAAATGGCAGAGACTACATCTCTGAAGGTAGACCTCCTGCCTTTTTCCAGAACAAAGACTCGCCGTGGAGTGGATGATGTCATCATCCACAAACCCACTGTCATTTAGACCAGGCAGGCAGCACTGTGAGGATCCTGGTCTTAGATTCTGCAGATTCAGCCTGACTGACTTTGAGAGAAACTCCATCAGACTCGGGTGGAGGCATCAACAACCACCTGGATCAAAGACTACCTGACAGACTGAAGGCCCAGCTGTCTGATCCTCTTCAGCAGACTGTTAAACACCAACGGAGAGTCTTCAGTCAGAGGCTGATCCAGATCCACTGCAGACAGACCTCTACAGGAGATCCTTCCTGCCTCTACAGCAACTGGATCAAACTTCTACAGAACCTCACCCCCCTTAGCTCAGGTCCAGCTATTAGCGCAGCAGAGAGAAAAAGCAGAACCCGTCCAGCAGGTTCTGGTTCTGATCCAGACTGACCCCTCCTCTCTGTCCGTCCACATGCGTGGCCCGGATGTGCTCGGCCAGGTCCGGGCTGCAGGAGAACAGCAGCTGGCAGTCGTCCCAGCAGCAGGTGTAGCTCAGAGCCTTGCTGGCGCCGCCCGGCCCGGTTCCGCCCGGCCCGGTGACCGTGGCAGGGGTGGAGCGGCCGCTGGAGGCGGTGCTGTCGGCGTCCATCTGGATGGAGCAGATGCTGGAACACAGAGCAGAAGGACAGAGCTTCAGAACCAAACAGAACCAGGAGGAACAGATTTGCTATCTGGGTTTCCATGGATACGGGTCAGAACCACTGTAGCCAACATGGATGGTAAGGTTCTACTGGGAGCGGTCCACAGGTTGCCTCACGGAACCAAGCTTCCCTTTCAGAACCGGCTGCTTCTGGGTGTAATGGATGCAGATCATTTAGAACCAGCAGATCGGATCATGTCAGCAGGTTAAACGACTCATTCAAACCCAGAACACGCCGCAGATACGGGCTGCTGCTCCATCGGACCGCCGTACCGCGTCGGATCGGCAGACATGTTCTGATATAAATTAGGGGTGTGCAAAATAATCGTGATGATGATGCATCGTGATTCTAATTTTCGTGATCTACTGCATCGATTCTTGATGCCAAGAATCGATTATTAATTTAAAAAAATGATTAAATAAAATTGCATGAATGGTTGGCGAACATCAGCCAAAAACAAGTGCAATACAACTTCCAGTCCAGTAGATGTCGGTGCAAATGTGTTGACGCACGCTGCCTTGTGTCACAAGCATTTCCGGCCGTGGGATACTGTGCCGAGTCATTCAAAAACAAAAAACATGGAGGAGAAAATATTGCACTGCATCGCAATAATTCAAGTATTGTGATGCATCGTGATAGAATCGCATCGTGACTTCTTTGGCAATACCCACCCCTAATATAAATGCGCTCAGGTGAGCAGCAGCGTAACGAGCAGTAAAATAAGATCAGCTCTGATTCCACTGATTCTATTTTCCATGTAGAAACAGTCGGACCCGACAGAGCAGACGCCAAAACACCTGAAACCATATTAGTCAATATTTATATAAAATAAGTTAAAAACATGCAGGAATTTAAATTTGGTTTGTTTTCATGTACAGCGTTCCAATTTTTCCACTGATTTAAATGTCTTTAAATCCACATTATCATGAATTCAACAGACTGTAGTAAACAGATAGATGGAGGCAGAAGATGTCTTTCAGGCATCAATGCTCACATTCAGCGACACACAGGAGCTCTTTAAGCTGGACACCGTTTCATTCACAACACCTGTCCCATCAACCAGGAATCAGAAATACTTTAATAATCCCAGGGAGGGATTACTTTAGTTACATTACTCCATCTGTAATAGAGTGACTATAGGACCAGTTTGATTTCATACAATATATATAATTAAGGGGTCCCTGCTGCTGTCCAAGCTTCCATCCATCATGGACGCCACCTTCCACCCTCTGCAGCAGACTGGAGAGGAGCTGAGCTGCTCCTTTAGTCAAAGACTTTTACAGCCTGTTTGGAAAAAGGAGCGCTGCTGCAGGTCATTCTTCCCTGCTGCAACCAGACTCTACAATGAGACGCTACAACCGCAATAACTGCTGCAGTGGAGAATAATTACTATTTAATAACCTGTGAAATAACCTGTTTCTCTATATCTGACACCCTGAGCAATTACTATATATATAAATATCCATCTATATAAACACCCTGGGCAATAACCTACTATAGAAACAGATAAAAATCTGTTCTATATGAACCCCCTGTATATACTGTATATATCCCATCATGCACCTCTTCATTCCTTTGGCTCTTTCTTCTTCTGACTATTTGAGCTGATGGTTCATTGATGATTTCTCCACTGTGAGATCAATCAACCATCCAACCAATCAGACGGCGTTCTGACAGACTGCGATCCAAACGGGTCTCCACCTCTGGACTGGATCAGAACCAGAACTCTGCTGTTGCCCAAAAGCAGTGAGAAGGTCCAGAACATCTACTGGTTCTGGTTCACTTGGTTCTCTAAGGTCCAAACCAGCAAGACCACACTGGTACCGAGTCTGACCAGACCTATGGAGGTTCTGGAGCATAACCTCCTCAGACCAGAACTTCTGGATCACGAGTTCCTGGAACAGAACCGCTCCTTCAGAGGTTCTGGTGCTGGTACCAGAGGTCCGACCAGTAGAAGAACTCACAGAACCACAGGCCATCTGGGTCCGGTTCTGTTTGGGAAGAAGAAACAGCAGAACCTGACTGGGAGCTGATGGTGTCTGAATGGACCAGACTGGTTCTGATCCACCAACCAGAACCAGAACCTGGATCCACAAGGAGCCGAACCTCCCGCGGGTACAGTCTGGGTTTAAAGGTTCGGCCACGTGGTAAACATCCACCTGTGATCAACCCACGTGCCTCACCCGCTACCAGGGAAACCCTGACGTCACTTCCTGCCAGCTGGGTTCTACAGACCAGATGCTGAAGGTTCTGTTCATCAGGAATCAGAACCAGAACGGACCCCTCCCTCCGGTACCGACCTTTCCTCAGAGTTCATCCGGGTCAGAGGCTTCCCCTCCCTGCGGCCCGCCGGCCTGCTTCCTCCGCGGGGCTCCGGCCCGTCCTCCGCCCCCCCTGGTTCCGCTCCAGGAACCCGGCAGCCCTCCGGGGTAGACCCGGCTCTGTTCGGACCCGGTTCGGGTTCGCATCCAGCCTCCGCCTGGTTCCGGTTCGGCTCCCCGGAGCCCGGCGGCTGAAGGTTCTGTTGGTCCGGTTCCGGTTCGATGGATCCATCCTGGGTCCCTGGGGGCCTCAGCAGAGCCATTGTGAGCAGAACTTTGGCTCCTGCTGCTTCCAGCTTCAAACATAAAGCCGAGCAGGGGGGCGTGACGTCACATCCGCTAGGCCAGAGCTGGTCTATTTATAGAGATTCTCACTCAGTTCTTTACATCCCATAACGGTCCAAACTGGGACATGTGCCGGTCCAACAGAACCGGGACCACGGCAGCTTCTGCTGCTTCAGCTCTGAGCTCAGAGATAGAACCGGAACCACCAAAAACCCGAACCGAACCAGTTTGGACCGACTGCTGAAAGTTCTGCTTCTCCTCCGAACCCAGGGCGGAGTGAGGCATCTTTTCACAGATCTTTGTTCTGTTCTCTCCGCTCCACGTGTTCTAACAAACAGAACCAAACAGAACCAGTAACCATGGCTACAGAGAGGAACAGAACCGGAAGCAGAAGGTCGGTACGTTAGGGGATGATCAAAGGATCCTGTGGAGAAAAACAGAACTTTTGATTTATTGCAGCAAAACCGATTCAGAGAATCAATATTAACAGACCGGACCCTCTACCGCACCCTGGCGGCGACCAGCCGGAAATGCAGCCCAGAAGGTCCCGAGGAGCAGATGGACCAGAAGGTCCAGTGGTCCAATAGATCCAGAGGCAGTGTTTTCTAGTGGACTGCAGGGGGCAGTGCAACATGCCAGTCTTTGCAATGACTGATTTCAGCATCTTTTAAATGCATTTCTACATTTCTGATTACGGTTGGAAGCCTTATAAGCTGGAATTTAGAGCCTGGTGAAACATTAAAGCCTCCTGCTGTGTCTGTGAACACCTGACAATAAATCCGGTTTCACTAGAACTTTATTAAAGGACAGATTATTTTTATGCCCTGAGAGTTTATTTTTCATTCATGTAATGACAATAAAACATTTATTTTAATGCGGCTGCTTCAGGCTGCTCATGAGAATGATCTAGATTTATAGATGTCTTTCAATAATCTGAATATAATAATCTGATATATTTTAATAGTTTAATCCAGGCTGCTGGAGGCCATTTTTATTTTATAGTGTAGAAAAGTTTTTATAGTGACTGTAATGAAGCTACTGAGCTCCATGATGGTGGATCATCTGATGGATGGAGAGGCTCTGCCTTCATTTCTGTTTATAAAATCACGGCTGCAGCTTTATCAGACTCAATGTTCCAGATTAAAAAACTAATCCACTGTTTCTGCCTCCAGTTCATTCATTCATTCGTGATCATGAAGATGTAAGCTGTCGTAGCTGTCCTCCAAAAGTGCCTGAGCAGCCAGGCGATTGGGTAACTGTACGCAGAAAGCGTAGTCGTGGATCTCTGCCCACTGGTCACCACCAACCCGTTCACGTTTCTAACCGGTTTTCCCCACTCAGTGACACACCCACTGAGAAGCCCACTCTGGTGATTGGCAGCTCCATAGTCAGAAACGTGGCATTAGAGACACCAGGGACCATAGTCAAATGTTTGCCAGGGGCCAGAACGGGCGACATCAAATCCTACCTGAAACTACTGGCTAAGGATAAGGTTAAATACAGTAAGATTGTTATTCACGCTGGTGGTAATGACACCCGGTTACGCCGATCGGAGGTCACTAAAATTAGTGTTGCTTCGGTGTGTAAGTTTGCCAAAAAAATGTCGGACTCCGTAATTTTCTCTGGTCCCCTCCCTGATCTGACCAGTGATGACATGTTTAGCCGCATGTCGTCATTCAATCGCTGGTTGTCTAGGTGGTGCCCTGAAAACAACGTGGGCTACATTAATAATTGGCAATCCTTTTGGGGAAAGCCTGGTCTGATTCGGAGAGACGGCATCCATCCCACTTTGATTGGTGCAGCTCTTCTTTCTAGGAATCTGGCCACATTTATTAGTCCTCCAAAACCCTGACCACCCAGGGTGCAGACCAGGAAGCAGAGTTGTAGTTTAACACACATCTCTGCAGCTTCTCTACTGTTACCCACTCTTTACTCCATCCAGACAGTGTCTTGCCCACGACCAAAATCTAATAAATTAGCAAAGATTCCCAAAGGAGTAAATCATGATAATCTAATTAAAATCAAAATAACTCCAATTGGGGAAAAAGTTAAAACAATTAAATGCGGTCTGTTTAACATAAGATCGCTTTCCTCTAAAAGTCTACTAGTTAATGACTTGATTTGTGATAATCACATTGACTTGTTTTGCCTTACAGAAACCTGGCTGCAGCAAGAGGATTATGTGAGCATAAATGAGGCAACTCCTTCAAGCTATTTAAATTTTCACATACCCAGAAGTTCTGGGCGAGGAGGAGGAGTAGCAACAATCTTCCAGTCTGACTTACTGATTACTCCCAAAACAATTAATTCCTACAACTCTTTTGAACATTTAACCCTTAATTTCCCTGATCCAAATTTCAAGGCAAGAAAACCTCTTCTTTTTGTAACTTTGTATCGTCCACCAGGTCCTTACTCTGAATTTTTAGATGAGTTTTCAGAGTTCCTTTCTGATTTGGTATTAAACACTGACAGGGTCATCATAGTGGGAGATTTTAACATCCATGCTGACATTGAAGGTGATAGCTTAAGAGCAGCCTTTAATGCTATCTTAGACACTATTGGCTTTGTTCAAAATGTGAATAGTCCCACACATTCTCATCTTCATACTTTGGATCTTGTGCTGACATACGGCATAGAATGTGAAGAAATAACAGTATTTCCTCACAACCCTGTCCTCTCTGACCACTTTCTAATAACCTTCAGGATTACTTTAACAGAGTTCTCCTCCCCCAAAAGAAGGTTCAATTTTAGTAGATCTTTATCAGATAGTGCAGTTATAAATTTTAAAGAATCTGCTTCACTTTCTCTCTGCTCTGTGTCACTGAGCAGTGCTGCAGAGTGCAAAAGCTTAGCTTATTCCCCTTCACAGGTTGATGATTTTGTTGAGGGGGTTGCTAGTTCTCTGCGTATTGCCTTAGACAACGCAGCTCCTTTGAAAATGAAAACCGTTAAAAATAGAAAGCTTGCTCCTTGGTTTAATGCAGAGCTGCGTACTTTGAAGCAAAATGCTAGGAAACTGGAGAGAAAATATCGCTCCACAGGCCTGCGAGAGTCCTTCCTAGTCTGGAAAAATGGTTTACTGCTGTATAAGAGGACCCTTTGTAAAGCAAGAGCAGCATACTTCTCCTCATTAATAGAGGAGAATAAGAATAATCCTAGATTTCTTTTTAATACAGTTGCCAAACTCACCCAGAGCCATAGCTCTGTTGAACCGTCCATTCCACCTGCTCTTAGCAGCAATGATTTTATGGGATTCTTTATAAATAAGATTGATCTTATTAAAAATAAGATCATAAGCACTCCTCTATCCGCGATTGTACCTGAGGTAGTCATGGAATCTGAACCGGGTTTAGACTGCTTTGATCCAGTTGAACTCTCTGAATTAGCAAAATTATTGTCTTCATCTAAGCCTTCAACTTGTATGTTAGATCCAGTTCCAACCAGGTTATTTAAGGAGGTATTCCCTTTGATCTCCTCCTCCATTTTAGATGTGATTAATCTATCTCTGTTACAGGGATATGTACCTAAAGCTTTTAAGATTGCTGTAATTAAACCTCTGCTTAAGAAACCGTCTCTTGACCCAGATGACTTGGTCAATTATAGACCTATATCCAATCTTCCTTTCTTATCCAAAATTCTTGAGAAAGTAGTTGCCAAACAAGTTTGCGATCACTTCCACCATAATGAACTTTTTGAAGAGTTTCAGTCTGGCTTTAGAGCTCATCATAGCACTGAAACAGCTCTGGTGAAAGTCACTAATGATATTCTCATGGCCTCAGATAATGGACTTGTATCTGTGCTCGTCCTGTTGGATCTTAGTGCTGCATTTGATACAGTTGACCATAATATTCTTTTAGAAAGACTTGAATATTTTGTTGGAATTAAAGGAACAGCACTAGACTGGTTTAAATCTTATCTATCTGATCGAATTCAGTTTGTTCATGTTAATGATAGATCTTCAACATGCTCAAAGGTTACCTGTGGAGTACCACAGGGATCAGTGCTAGGACCAATTCTCTTTACTTTATACATGCTCCCAATTGGTAGAATTATTAGACAGCATGGGATTAATTTCCACTGTTATGCTGATGATACCCAGCTATATCTGTCTATAAATCCAGATGAAGCTAACCCATTACATAGATTACAGGCATGTCTTGAAGACATAAAAACCTGGATGACTCTTAATTTTCTGCTTCTGAATGCAGACAAAACAGAAGTTATAGTCTTTGGACCAGAGTCTCTGAAAAAGAAACTGATTAGCCAGTCACTTCATTTGGATGGGATTAAACTGATTTCAGATAATAAAGTAAAAAATCTTGGTGTTATTTTTGATCAGGACCTGTCATTTAAATCCCATATCAAAGAGGTTTCTAGAATTTCCTTCTTTCATCTGTGGAACATTGCAAAAATTAGAAATATCCTGTCCAGGGGTGATGCTGAGAAACTAGTCCATGCATTTGTTACTTCAAGGCTGGACTATTGTAATTCTTTACTATCAGGAAGTCCACAAACTGTAGTTAAAAGCCTTCAGCTGATCCAAAATGCTGCAGCCAGAGTTCTAATGAAAATGAAAAAGAGAGATCATATCTCTCCTATCCTGGCTTCTCTTCTTTGGCTTCCTGTTAAATCAAGAATAGAATTTAAAATCAAATCCTCCTTCTCACATATAAAGCCTTAAATGGCCAAGCTCCATCTTATATCAGAGATCTGATTGTTCCTTATGTTCCTAACAGAGCACTTCGCTCTCAATCTGCAGGTTTACTAGTGGTTCCTAGAATTTCTAAAAGTAGAATGGGAGGCAGATCTTTTAGTTATCAGGCTCCTCTCCTGTGGAACCAACTACCAGTTTTAGTCCGTGAGGCAGACACCCTGTCTACTTTTAAGGCTAGGCTTAAAACTTTCATTTTTGATAAAGCTTATAGTTAGGGTGGCTCAGGTTATCCTGAGCTATCTCTATAGTTATGCTGCTATAGGCTTAGACTGCTGGAGGACATAGGGACCCTTTTTCATCATTCTGCTTCATTCTCTCTCTGTTCTCCTATTCTGCAGAA